ATCTTTACAATCAAAGGAAAGTAAGTGCTGCAGAGATCTGTCTTTTCTTGTGATGACCACTACTTGGATGCTGTTTTGGAAATGGAAAAGGTAAAATCCTCTCATTTTCTTGGCACCCCTGCTTTGTTGGTGGTACCCCTGATACATAGGTGCCCTGCCTGCTAGGGAACCACCCACTGCCGAGGGTCCCAAGAGCAGGATCCCACTGCCCTGAGCCTGGGGATGGGGAGAGCGAGAGCCCCTGGGAGGTATTAGAGACATTCCCCAGAGAAAAATCCTTTGTGTGCTCACGGTGCCTTCCATGGCATCTGGCACCTACACAGGTTTTCAAATGAAATAGGTGAACAGTTGAGTTGCCTTTTGAGTGTTAAGGACCTGTCAGCTACTGAGTAAAACCTCAGGTACATTCAGAAAATAAGCCTTTGAACTGTTTTGCGGAACCATTGACTGTGAGGGGAAGTTTGCCCCAGTCCTCAGAACCTGTGAATACGATGCTTGACATGGCAAAGAGGACTTTGCAGATGTGATTAAGTTAAGGGTCTTGAGATGGGGGGATTAGCCTGGATAATCCAGGCGGGCTCTGTATAATCACACGGGTCCTTATTTGAGGGAGGCAGGAGGGCCGGGGTTGGAGAAGATGGGATGAGGGAAGTGATGTGCTTGCTGGCCATGGGCCAAGGAATTCTCGCAGCCTCTGGATGCTGGAAAAGATGAGGAAGTGGATTTGTCCCCACAGCCTCCAGAAGGAAGGCATCCCTGCTGGCACCATGACTTCGGCCCAGTGAGATCCATTTCCGACTTCTGACCTGGAGAACTGTAAGGGAATAAATTTGTGTTGTTTTAAGCCACCAAAGTTGGGGTAGTTTCTCACAGCAGCAGTAGGAACCTGTTACACTGAATATATCGTTTTCCTCCCTCTAGGGAGGATGTTTTCTGAACTCCAATTATTTAATCAAGAAAGAAGTTTCAAAACCCGGCCTGTTTGCATTTTGGAGTCCACCACCCATGTCTGTTTTCTGGTCCCATGTACCTGTCCTCAGGATCTTAGGGAAGCTCATATGTAAAATTATTGTAAATCTTAAATTATTTAAAAGTATGTATTCAGGCTGGGCGTGGTGGCTCATGCCTGTAATCCCAGCATTTCAGGAGGCCAAGGCAGGTGGATCACCTGAGGTCAGAAGTTTGAGACCAGACTGGCCAACATGGCAAAACCCTGTCTCTACTAAAAATACAAAAAATTAGCCGGGCGTAGTGGCAGGCGCCTGTAATCTCACCTACTCGGAAGGCTGAGGATGGAGAATCGCTCGAACCCAGGAGGCAGAGGTTGCAGAGAACCGAGATCATGCCACTGTACTCCAGCCTGGACGACAAGAGCGAAACGCCATCTCAAAGAAAAGAAAACAATATTCTAAGATTTTGAAATGATTTAAACATGATAATAGGTCTGTGAGTAACTGGTTTCCCTTTAACTGTATATGGGGCTAAGCAAGAAATATGGATGGTGCGTTTTTTTTGTTTTTTTTTTTGATGGGTCTTTCTCGGTCTCCTAGGCTGGAGTGCAGTGATGCAAACATAGCTCACTGCAGCCTCAACTTCGCTGGGACCACAGGCCCACGCCACAACACCAAGCTGATATTTTCACTTTTTGTAGAAACGGGGTCTCCCTTTGTTGCTCAGGCTGGTCTGGAACTCCTGGCCTCAAGTAATCCTCCTGCCTCCGCCTTCCAAAGTGCTGGAATTACAGGTGTGAGCACTGTGCCTGGCCAGATGGTGCTTTCTTAATCACAGAAGATAAAATGGATATGGGACCAGGGCAGAAGAGTGACAGCAGCTAGCACACTCTTGAGTTGCTTTGCTGAAAGCTCATTGCTCAGAAGGGAGGAAAAGTGGATGTTGTGAATTCATTTCCTTCAGAAACACAGGTGCTGAACCTGCTGCTGCCACATAAACCCCTGCCTATTTTCACCAAGAACCTTGGAAACAAGAGACCAGTCATCTCAAGTTTATAAAAGCCCCAGAAAGGACATTGCCAGATTAGAACAAAGGCTTAAGGAAAGATTTCTGAAGATTCAGAGGCCTGAAGGAAATAAGCACAAGGCCAGAGAACCTAACAAAAACACACTAAACTTTAAAAACCATGGTACTTAGAGAGTCAAGTTAAATGATCCCGTTTAAGGAAGGAAAGGAGGTTTCTAAAGACAGCAGCCAGCGGGACTGACTCTGCTTTGCAGGTTCATTTCTGATGAGCTGAAACTGTGAGCGGGTGTTAGGCAGGATAGAAAGACAGACACAAAGGAGCCTGCCAAGAAAATGAATGGCCAGCGTGCACTTCGCCGTGTGCAGAAAATGGTAACGCAGCAAGAAGGACCATTTCAGTTCTCCAGCCGGCCAGTGCTTAGAGGCAAAGCAGCATGGTGAGCGGCCGCTGGAGAGAAGCATGAGTACTCGGCTGTTCTCTGTCATCTGCTCCCCATGGCGCAGCAGTGGCTCTACTCTGGAGACCAGATAGAACAACATAGTAAAGGAAAAAATGGAGCCAGGATGGTCAAGAGAGAATAAAAGAACACCTGGTGGCTTAAAGCAGTTCAAGGCTAGGCCCGTGAGACTCTAGCCCAGGGGCAACACGACCTTCATAGGAGCGCTTCTGAACTCTCGCTTTAATAAACCCTAGCAGGATCCCAGAGTGGTCACTGAGCAGGGCCAACATCGGAAAAGGGCCAGTGTTTCTCGACTTTTCCAAGAGTAGGTAACAAGGAATTGGAGCAACATCATGTTGCGAGCCTCACTGCCCATCCAGGGCCAGACCTCAGAGTGGATTATTAAACAAGTGGCTTGTGAACCTAGAGGGAAGAAAAGATGGTGAGGACTCAGGGTCAGCGTGGGGAGGACTTCTAACCCCAAGTCCTGTTAGCTTCATTCACTTCATTCACTTTGGACACATTGGGAGATCAGGGCTTTGTCCGCCACCACGCCCAGCTAATTTTTGTATTTTTAGTAGAGATGGGGTTTCGTCATGTTGGCCAGGCTGGTCTCAGACTCCTGACCTCAGGTGATCCACCTGCCTTGGCCTCCCAAAGTGCTGGGATTACAGGCGTGAACCACCGTGCCCAGCCGATAAGTGGTATTTTCACTGGAGTCTAGATCCTTCCTTGTGCTAAATTTTGTAATTAAATCTCACAAGAAAATAAAAAGCAATAGCATAAGTTCTCACTTCTCTTTCTTGTGTAACTCTCATTGCCGTTTTAAAATCTTGAGAGCTGTCATCTTGGTAACTAAGTATTTAGGTCAGTATCTTAGAGTTGGTGTGATGCCAAGATGACACAGGCCTGGAGTGGGGATCCCAGGTAGAACCAGGAGGAACCTGCAGTGGCTTCCCCACTCCTACCCCTCAGGCTGGGCTAGGGGCCCTGGTTCTGCCCTGTCTTAAGAGTGGCCACACCTCAGCCTAGTTTTCAACTCCTTAAAGCAAAACAGTATCTCCTCTGGGTCAGGAGGCTAAGCAGGTAGAAACATGTGCAAGGAAGATTTTCAGAGCAATGGGCTCCTTTCCTGCAAGGAACCAAGACTCCTGTGGTAAGGGGGTTGCCAGGAAAAGGACAGAATAAAGCAGCAGCCCATTCCACTGAGATGAGTGTCGTCATCAGCATCGTCTACTGGGTCCGAGTTTCTTTATATGGAAAGTGGATTACCCACCTCAAGGCCGCCAAGTACTCTCATCTCTCCATGCTGTTTTCTCTGGAAGTGTTGAATAATGCCCCTACTGCTGCTACTGCTATTGCTTGATTTGTAAGAGAAGAAGCAAAGTGCAAAATGAAAATAATCATCCCATGGTCATCTTCTGCTTCTCATGCTCTAACCCACCTGGACATCGGGGGCCTCTTTGAGGCACTCGGACCACATGTTTGCAACACTGGCTGTCGTGCAGGCACCGGGCATCCCCTGCCAGCTCTTGCCCATGGACGGAAGGCACAAATGCCTGTGTCAGCTGATTAAAATGTTCTCAGTCAACGTGTCTAGACAAGTATCCACTTATCTTACACCCAGAAATGATTGTGGCCATAGCTACGTTTAGCCATAACATTGACCTGCTTGTTAACATTGTTCCTGAGTTGCTGCCTCCCCCTCATTCTCTTTTGTCTTCCCATTCAGTGGCTTACGTGTGTGTTTTAATACCTGTTTTGTTAGATTTCTGTTTCAATTCAATAGATTATTTTGAGGCTGGAGGAAAGGAAACCATGCCAAAAGACCAGGTGTTCACGCTTTCAGAAATGCAGAAATGGACAGGTTTTCTTTACTGCACATCTTGCAGGAGTCAAGGCCTAATGCTGTTTATGTCTCTGACTCTGTGATGGCAGCTCCAACAGGTGGCACAGGGCGGTACACTAGCCTCCCCCGAACCCTCACAGATCAACACCCAAGTTCAAGTAAAAGCCACATGCCCGCCCTCCAGGTGCCCATCCCCGCCTGTCTCTAGCCTCATATCTCTGTCCCACACACTCCTGTAGCCACCAAAGGGGACCCGGAGCTTCTGATGAAGGGTACCTGTTGGCAAGGTTGTGCCTCCCCTTGGTCAATGTATGCGTTCCATCCAAGAGGACAGAAATTGGGTTCTCACTGACACAATCAAACTTGAAATACCCAGAGACATTTTTTCTACTAAAAGAAACAAGTCTTGGGTGAATCTTTTCACATCTCACTTTTCTCATCTGCAAATGGGAATAATAATGGTTCCTAATTCACTGGGCAATGATGAGGGTTACAGGATTTAAATCATGTAAAAAGGCCTGACCAGCCCTAATCTGCTTAGCTCCTTTTATCCTCACTGAATGAATGAATGCAAATTGAGCCTCTACGAACCTGTCGCAAATGAAAAACGCACATGCAGATTTGATTATTGACATAACAAGAGGTGGAAAAAATCACCTCTTAGATGTGGACATGTTCAGTACTTTATGTTTGCAGTTTGCACTGTGAAATACTTTTTTTTTTTTTTTCTCCAGGACTACACTTTGTTATATGAAGAGGCAAAATATTTTCAGCTTCAGCCCATGTTGTTGGAGATGGAAAGATGGAAACAGGACAGAGAAACTGGTCGCTTTTCAAGGCCCTGTGAGTGCCTCGTCGTGCGTGTGGCCCCAGACCTCGGAGAAAGGATCACACTAAGCGGTGACAAATCCTTGATAGAAGAAGTATTTCCAGAAATCGGCGACGTGATGTGTAACTCTGTCAATGCAGGCTGGAATCACGACTCGACCCACGTCATCAGGTTTCCACTAAATGGCTATTGTCACCTCAACTCAGTCCAGGTATAGCATTGTTACACACTGTGTGGCATCAAATGTCACTCTCACCGTTGTCACTTAACCTTGCCCTCACATAGTGCCTTTCCTCCAAAAAGCTGAGAAACTCTCACTCAGTGACACTTCTGTTGGGTAGGTGAATTATCACCCTCCACAGCAGTCATTCCGTAAGTCTTGTGATTATGCCAGGTGCTGGGATGAGCACTGGAGATACAGAAGGGACAGATATAGAACACAACAGCTGGGCACGGTGGCACACGCGTGTAGTCCCAGCCACTCCAGAGGCTAAGGCAGGAGGATCACTTGAGCCCAGCAGTTCAGGTTCAGTGAGACAAACAGAGAACAAGATGGACAGCTCTGTGTTCGTGGAACTGCATTATGGGAGTGGAATGGGAGGCAAACAGTCAACATAAATATATTGCCCAGGAGGTGGTAAGTGGATTTCTGGGGTAGAGTATGCTGGGCATATTGAGGACTATCTGGAAAGCCAGTTTGGCTTGAAGAAAGTGAATGAGGGAGAGAAAGTGCCCAGACAGGAGGGAAGATCAGGGACAGATCATGGAGAGCCTTGTTAGGGGGTGGCAAGTGCCCTAGGATTGTTTATTTTGGCACCTTTTGGTTTTGGTTCATTTGTGTATGTGAGCCAAATGGAAATCCATTGGAGGGTTTTGAGCAGAAGGGAGAACTGACAGAACTCGTATTTTAAAGTGAACACTGTGACAGCAGCTAGAGAACAGGAGAAGCGAGGAGACCGGGCAGCAAGCTGTGGTACAAGCAGCTGAGAAGTGTCCAGTTCTGAGTGTCTGGAGGGTAGAGCTAATGAGGTTTTCTGACGATGGCTGTGGGTTGTGAGACAGAAGCCCGGGATGACTAAGATTTTTGACAGAGGAACTGGGTGAGTGGAACTGCCATTTCTTGAGATGGAGAAGTCTAGGGGAGCAGGAGATGTGGGGGTGGAATTCAGAACTCAGAGGCTAACATGTGCTGAGCACCGACTCTCTGCCCTACCCTGGGCCAGGGCCTGGACATGCGTTGTCTTCTTACAACCCTAACAGGTGAGCACTGCTAATCCTCTCTGTCTTTCTCATGAGAAGGCAGAGGCGCACCTGGGTCTCGATTCCAGCTCCGTGTGACACAAAACCGTTTGAAGTCAATGGAGTGAGGGTTCTAGTTTTTTCCCTCTTTTTAACTGGAATGGGCCCATGAAGTTGTTCAGTATTTAGTCAGCAGAACCCTTCCCAAAGCACAGAGACTCGAAGCACCCACTCTTCCGTGCTGCCTCTTAAGGATTGTTCCATGACTATTTATAACTCTTTAAATGTATGAACAGATGTCTGAGAACAGAAGAGCAGAAAATTCTGGCAGAAAATGTTCCCTAAGCATGCTAGCGGAAGGCACATGCTCCCAGGCGGCGGGGCGGCCGCTGGGTCGCAGGGTTCCGGAGAACGGCATTCGCGTTCTCACCTGTGTGGAGAGCGCCCCCTGGAGGTGTGTGGCGCTCCCGCATGGCCCTGCACAGCGTTCCTGAGACGGTCTCAGCAGTTTAAACCTCTTTAAAGCCCAGAAAGCCGGTCCCCTTCCACACAACAGCCTGCCCTGGCTGCCACTGGAGCAGACAGAGGGGCAGAACCATTCAGAGCCAGGACAGGAAGGCCTCGGCCACACCCTGGGGCCAGTGAATAACGATCGTCAATTCATACGCTTGACAGTTTCCTACGTCAGATGTGGAAATTTTCATCTGGATTAACGTGATCGTATGACACAGCCATGACCTACCCTTGCTTCCTGCTCCACTGACCAAGAAATAGTCACCAGCCTGTGGGCACGCAGAGACTCTGGGATAAGGCTTATGACACCCTATACCTTACTAAGTTGTTATATGATCACTCAGTTTAAGGAACTTTGCTGTGAACGTGTTGTTGTTTCCAAAGTAATGGCTCCATCAGCTGTTTGCATTACATTGAAATAAGCTTTTGACCACATCCAAGGTAACATTGGATCACATTGAATAATTATCACGATGCCTATCGAACTCCGAAGAAGAGCTTAGAGATTTCTCCTCCTGTTAGCATTTAGTGACCTTAAGACTCAAAGAAAAACGGACATCAGGGTTAGGTTCTCTGCTGTTCACAGCTTCCTCCCTTTTGGATTTCCCCTCCTAATCATGGCAAGGAATGTTTTCCAGGGTCTGGTTTGGCCAAGCAAGCTGGAGTGCCTCTTGCTGAAAGCTGCATTCCTGCCTCTGCTGGGGAATACGTGGAGGGAGCTGTTATTCGTCTTTGTATCTACCTGCCACCAAAGCACGTCTTGATTTTGAAATTAGGGATTGTTTTCTTCCTGTCCTTATGCTGACGGGTATCACATGCATTGTGAATTTACCTACAGAAATAGCGCACTGCTGGGTAGAATGTTAATTTTGTTCTCATAAGGACTTGTGTGTGTTTTTTTAATTTGCCAGCACTTGAGGTTTTAATTTTTAGAAAACACACTCTCTTGCTTTCCAGTCTCATCTAGTAAGCTGTTTTGCAACACAGCAGACTATATTCTATATTGAAGTAGGCAACTAAAAAATAATAATTTTTTTAAAAGTAAGGATTCACGTTACATTGACTACATTTCACTTCCTTCCAATAGAAGTTTTTTTGAGGTGGGCGTTTTTTTGTTTTTTATGGTGGTTTTTTTTTTTTTTTTTTTAAGTTATGACTGAATCACTTTGCTTTCAAGGTGGTGTGGAGGTAATTTAATTATATTCAGAACTCTGGCAGGAAATATTTGCAAGTCTAATAATATTTGTTGGATTCCTAAAGAAACAGAATGCTCCAGATCAGTTTCCTGTATTTGTGTCTAAGAGTCACAGGTACTGTTTCCTGCATTTAAGAGTGTCAGACATGTAGTGCCAAACCCGGGAATCTTGCTGGCGTTAGGTATTTGATTTCAAAATTAAGAAACAGATTCTATGGTTTACATTTGTATAAAAAGTTTAGAATATCTTTATTTTTCATACATTTTCTTATATGTAATCATTGTGCTGATTCTTGTCTCCTTGAATGCATGCAGGGAAATACATCTGTTTCAAATGCTACAAACTTGAAAATCTGTAGATAATCCTCTAGTGTCTTCAGTAGTCCCTTTGTTCTGCTATTGAAATTATATCAATCTTCCAGTTAGAAACATATATATTAACTTGGTGTTAGGAAACTCGAACAAAGGCGGAGTTGAGAATACAAATGAATCACTGGCTAAGTAAACTTTGCCATCACTGTCCTTTCCAGATTTATCATCTCATAGGATGTATTTTAGTGATAAATGAGCTTTGAAATGTGAACCCTCATTTTTGACAGAGGGCAGCATTGCGTATACAAAAATAACAGGTTTGAGGCCAAACAGACCTGAGTTGGAAACCCAGTTCCATCACTGACTAGCCATGGGCCTCAGTTTTCTCATCTATAAAATGGGCCTAACACCACCGAGTGTTGTAGCTGGTGTGTGTAAAGCAACCATGTAAAGGCACATTTTAGGCACTAGAAATGCTTACTTCCTCTCTCCTGCCCGTTAATCCAGGATCTTCCTTTGAGAGGAGCAGCTCACAGGGACATGGGTGCTGGATGAGATGAACCAGAGCTGCGCATAATCTCAAACTTTGGGGTGTTTATGTAGCCATAGGATTTACCTCACCCCTAACTGGATGCTTGTCTTGTCCTCACAGGTCCTTGAGAGGTTGCAGCAAAGAGGATTTGAAATCGTGGGCTCCTGTGGGGGAGGAGTGGACTCGTCCCAGTTCAGCGAATACGTCCTTCGGCGGGAACTGAGGCGGACGCCCCGCGTACCCTCCGTCATCCGGATAAAGCAAGAGCCTCTGGACTAAATGGACATATTTCTTATGCAAAAAGGAAAACACACAAAACCAATAACTCAAACAAACAAAAAAGGGACATTTATGTGCAGTTGGAACAGCAAACCAAGTCCTGGACCTAAAATCGAATAAAAGACACATTTATATCCAATAGAGACCACACCTGTATTCATATGGGAACAATTGGAATAGTGATATCCTCAAGGTGTAAAAAATATATAAATATATATATATATATATATATATGTCAAAAGGTAGGAAATGCAAAAAAGAAAAAAAAAAGGTGATAGCCGCAGTTGGTGCTGTGATGGCCGTGAAGTGTCCTAGGCCTCCCGAGGTCTCTGACTAATAAACAAGCCATGAGCGGTGAGGACACAGTCTCCTTACAGTTTCCATTGCCAACAGCCATCCATTCTTTCTTTTTCCTTTGTCTTTCTTTTTCCTTTTTAAAAAAAAAAAAAAAAAAACCAAACACCTTGAATCCAGTTTTTTTGTATATGGAGGTTCCACGTCCCTCTTTAGGCTGGGACCGGGCGGGACTTCAGAAAAACCCTCATGAGCACATTGCAAAGATGTTAGACATGAAATTTTACATGTAGTTTGTACAGAAGTCACACTTTTTTGTCCACCTCACAGATGTGAACTTTACTTTGTTTTAAAACTGATCAGTTTTGCCAAGGGGCCAGAATTATTCCTTGTTAGAATTGCTCCAGTTCAAGTCTGCTGCTTTCCTACAATTTTTCAAATTTTATAATGTATTAAATACAATAAACTCTGTTTAAAAAAGATGGTCTGTGTGAAACACACATGTGGGGGTGAGGCTGGATTAAAGTGAAATTTTTTCTTTTTGAAATTGTCCGTGTTGAGCATCAAAAAGAGGCTTGAAAGCCGGGGTCAGTTTTGAAGGCAAAACCTACTAAAGGCTAAGGATGTCATCACCTGTTCCAGACAGTGGTCTTCTGACTCAGCAAATGTTATTTCACGTGCTTTGTGATTCTGCATTGGTTAGCAAGGTAAATCTTCCTTCTTACGGACTTTTCGGTTACACCTATTTCAGTTATCTCTGGCTGCAGAGCAAGCCACACCAAAATTTAATGGCTGAAAACATTTTGTTCTGACCTGCGATACTGGCCTTCGCTGGGCTGTGTCTGCTCCACGAGTCTGCTCCATTGCTGCAATCCAGGGGGTCTTATTGGTGTGGAATGTCCTACATGGCTCACCCAGATGGCTGCAAATACTTGGCTGTTGGCCTCTATGTGGCTTGGGCCCCTCTCAACATGGTAACCGGATTCCAAGAAGAAGGCAGAGAAAGCCACAGTTCTCTAAAAGCCTGGGCCCCGGGCGGCACAGTACACTTCTGCTGCTTCCTGTTGTTGAACAGCCACATGGCCAGCCCAGACTCAAGGAGGGGGAAGTAAGAACCTCCTGTTGGGGAAAGTAACAAAGCATTTGTGACCACCTTCAATGCACCACAACACCTGTCCAAAGCATCTTATAAGTAGGGCATTATGGTTTTGCAAAAAGTAGGGAACATCTCAGAGCCAGAACTATCATTTTATTATTAGCCAGAGAAGTAAAAAACCTGAGATTTCAACAGCACTTTAGAATGAAGTCCTCAGCTTTTCCAAGGTATTAGTGACCCTGATTCTTCGATCAGCCCTACACCCACCTTTCTTCCCTCCTCTTCCTCATTCCAGACACTCAAAATAAATCTGACATGCTGGTAAGATTGACAGGTAAACGAGAATGTGTTTCTGGTGCAGAGATACTCCTGTGGTGATGGGTTATTTCCATCCTGAACTTACTTTCTTTTTTTAAATTAAAAAGTGTATGCCTGAGGACACTAGTAATGAAAATATCTCTGGCTTCTGAAACTAAAAGTGAGCTGTTAATGGCTCCTATCACTGCCTGAAACACAGGCGGCCCAAACGCTGAATTACTTTAATGATGGCTAGCCAGGTTTCCACATTGCTGTGTAATTTCCCTATTTGAGACTAATACACCACTCTCTCAGATGGGGACAGACAGGGCTGCTCCCACCAGCTGCTCAGTCATCCACGTCCCACTGAAAGGAGAATAAAATTGCTGTATGATTTACTAGCAATCCATTCTCGTTAAGCAGAATTTCCTCAAATCAATAATGCAAGGGCCTCACTTTGGGACTCTGCTGGGTATTGTCATCAGTTAATGTTTACCCAGCACTGCTTATGTGCAGTTAGCATTGTCCCAACCAAATACTGCACAGAACGGTGTACATTGGCTACTGGCATCCACTTTGTTCTTTTCTAAGTTCTTCGGTCTATTTATATGACTGCATCCCAGTTGCACATTGTTTCTACAAAAACTCTGATCCAGTTCAATGGAGCAAACAGTTCACTTGTAATGTTCACCTTTTTAGGTCTTGAAACATGTAGATTCCCAGACACCAAAATACTTTAGGAAAGAGCAGGTCAATCAAAATGTCAAAATATAATTGAATCATCTTTTTTCTTTTCTTTTTTTTCTTTTTTTTTGAGACAGAGTCTCACTCTGTCACCCAGGCTGGAGTACAATGGCACAATCTTGGCTCACTGCAACCTCCACCTCTAGGTTCAAGTGATTCTCCCACCTTAGCCTCCCAAGTAGCTGGGATTACAGGCATGTGTTACCACACCCAGCTAATTTTTTTTTTTTTTTTTTTTTTTTGGTAGAGATGGGTTTTGCCATGTTGGCTAGGCTGATCTTGAACTCCTGAACTCAAGTGATCCACCCCCATCGGCCTCCCAAAGTGCTGGGATTACAGGTGTGAATGAATCACAATCTTATTTTTCACTACTGCTTATTATTCAATGTAAAGTTCATGTTCAAACTTCACCAGTGTCCCCAAAAGGATCTTAATAGCTGTGCTTTGCACCTAAGGATCTGATCAAGGATTACGCATTGCATTTATTAATAATACCCCCCCACCCCTTGCTTTTCTTTGGGAGGATCTTTCCATGACATCGACTTATTGGAAGAGTCTAGGTCAACTGTTTTGCAGATTTGGATTTGTCTGATTTGTCCCTCATTGGTAGAGTCAGGTTTGTTTGGTTTCAAGAATACTACATAGGCGATAACATGTCCTCAGTGCATCATATCACAAGACTCAGTTTGGCCCATATTATTAATGGCAGTTTTAGCCTCTTGGTTGAAGTAACATTCACCAAATTACCCAGTGTAAAGGTAGCTTTTTCTTTTTGTAATTAATGATTACCTATGGGATGACGCTATGAGACTATAAATATCTTGTATCTCTCAACACACTCTCACCAAATGGTTTTGACATCCATTGGTAATCCTTTCCCAAATCAATCATTACCTTGGGAGCACTAAAAGTTTGCTTTTTAAAAAGCCACTGTTGGCCATGCGTGGTGGCTAACGCCTGTAATCCCAGCACTTCGGGAGGCCGAGGTGGGTGGATCATGAGGTCAAGAGATTGAGACTATCCTGGCCAACATGGTGAAACCCCATATCTACTAAAAATACACAAATTAGCTGGGCGTGGTGGCGCATGCCTGTAGTCCCAGCTACTCCAGAGGCTGAGGCAGGAGAATCACTTGAACCCAGGAGGCGGAGGTTGCAGTGAGCCGAGATCACGCCATTGCACTCCAGCCAAGGCGACAGAGCAAGACTGTCTCAAAAAAAGCCACTGTTGCCTGAATCTTTGATAGTTGGAATACTCTCTTTTTTTTTTTTTTTAGCAAAATAAAAAATCTTTAGTCTAGGGCAGACAAGCTACACTACTTGACCTGCTCTTTTCTAAGAAGTATTTTAGAAAACTAGAATAAGGCAAGCCACTTATAAACTGGTTCCAAATATTAGATGAGTTTCTCCATAATAGTAATAGTCATCCGTTTAGTGTTTGCTGTGTGCCAGACCTGTACTGAGCACTTTACCTGTTAACTCATTCAATCCGTTGACCATACTGGAGGTTGTATTATCCATCCCTATGTCTTAGTTAAAGTAACTAAGACCCTAAGACATCAAATAAAGGATATGATTAAGGCTAATGTTCGATTAAGTTTTATAAGGAGGACCCAAAACAACTATTTAAGAAAAAGTAAGTTTTTATGTGCAATAGGAGGAAGCAGTAGATTATTAATTAATAGCATTTTCTCCTCATAATGGAAATGTACTCCTGTTAAGTATTTTGACCATCTTCTTCAGTATGTTGGGTACTTGGCTTCGCTGATACTAGGGGACCATGACATGGTTTCTTCTGTGGGTTTCTGGGGAGTGAGAGGAGCAGGGCTCTCTGCACATCTAGCGGTGAATTAAGGTATGTGCATACCTAACTACAGTCCAAGGCACAATGGGATATGTGTCATTTCATAGTTACAAACCAAGGATTCTAGAAATGCCCAATCATATGGGATCATATCTAGTCGGGGATATTAGAAAAACCATCCTTGGGGAGGTGGCGCTTGAAAGATGGGTAGACTTTGCAAGGAAGGAGTATTTGGGGGTGGGGCAGAGGCTCTGAGCTGGAGGAGCACAAGGCAGGGTCAGCACATGGTAAGGGAAGAGGGAAGCATGGGCTAGAAAAGGAAGGTGTAATTGGATTTTGGGAGTGTGAGAGGGGAGCTGATCTTGACTGCCAGACAAGGATTTGGACTTTATTTAGGAACCACTGGAGAATCACAGAAGGTGGGCAGATACTCATTTAGGGAGTCTGTAGGCTTGACTGTCTGGGAACAGTCTGTTGATGGAGGGGGGCAGTTAAGTGGCTGTTTTCCCCATTCATCCATTCATGATCTACAAAGCAGGCTAAGACCTGATGACATAACGACGTATGAGAAAATAAGATATCACCTTTAGAGTTGGGGCGGCAAACTCAGATGCCTCCAAGGGCAGGGCAAGTTACATGAATCAGTAAGAGATAGCCGAACTGGAGTATTCAAAGGAGCAGCCCCTACTCAACCCCAACAGGTTGCAGCTATAGGAGAACAGTGTCCTTGTACTTAAACATCTCATTTTTCTAGAAAACCTGGGAATCCAGACTTTTGTGTGAAATCTCTAGATGTGTAAATATTGGAGCTCTTTTTTTTCCAAATGTACAGCCCAAACAAGACGTCTGCAAACTAGGAGTTTGTAACTCTGAGAGTTAGGAAATAAAACAATTTTAGACACTCTAGAAAAATTCCATTTGGGTGGGATTGCATGTGAGATCACAAAAACTAAGTTGATCGAGGACATACTTTATAAAAAATCAAAATTGGATGCAAATTTTTAGTTTGATTTGATAATATAAGCTGATCACAAAAACAACACTTATTCACATACACATACACCAGGTCTGAATCATACTTTGAGCTCAACTCTTTCTCCCTTTCCAACCCATGCAAAAAATGCGCTTGCTGGCATTGGCAGCTGCAGTGTGCCCCACTGCAAGATACTAGACAAACGGCATTGCAGTAACTATTAGTAGGAATCTACTGGTAGGAATTACTAATAACATTTGTGACTGACTAATATTCATCTATAGGACTCAAACCCTGAGAATATGCATTGTGTCTGACTTTGTCACTGTCGGGCAGCTTTTATCCATCAAAGTTGATCACGGGTTCTATCAGTGATTTCCAAACTTGCCTGTTCTTAAGACACACAAAAGGCATTTTTAAAGTGATAATTCCAGCCCATCACCACCCCTGTACCCCATCTCCCCATAGATTTCTGAATTTCACTTTTTTTTTTTTTTTGAGATGGAATCTCGCTCTGTCACCCAGGCTGGAGTGCAGTGGCGCGATCTCAGCTCACTGAAACCTCCG